ATATATATATATATATATATATATATATATATATATATATATATATATATATATAAATATACACATATATACACACACACACAAACTTTACACAATACACACACACATTCACACATACATAACACTGTCTAAAGAGAGACGAAAAAGAATATGTTTTAAGATTTCGCGCGTAAGTATCCCTACAAAAGAAGAAAGGTACCGTCATATCGCGCCGCATACGATCACTCCCCTGCGAGATGTAAACAAATCTAGTAATTAATAATAGTGATATAAGGAGGAAGTTGAACGCATCGGGGCGCGATCCTTCGAACTGGCTATCATATCCGGGGCGATACGACGGTCACGCTTGTATCATAGCATTATATTACCCCCCTTATGTTTTTTGTATTTGGTAATCTAAACGAAAGAATATCGAATTAACAGACAGAAGATTAATAGAAAGTATATTATATATATTTGAGTAAAGCTACCGAGAGTTGGAGTTATCTGGGACGCGTCGACAACGATTGTCCTCATCGTTCCTCTCATCGTTCACCGTCTTTCTCTCTTCCTCTTCACTTTTCCCTTCTTTTTCGCGTCCCTTCGTGCGCCCGATAATAAGTGAAAATAACGACGAAACAGACACGAGACGGTTTATATAATATAGAGCTGTATGCTGTATACTGTAGAGCGTATACTGTATACTGTAGAGCCAAGCGCGCGAAACACGACGCTTCCGGATAAATCCAACGCTCGTTTACTCATAACTTATTATGTACATCGTCTGAGAGAAACAAAGGTACGTTCGTAAAGAAAAATAAACATAAGTATATATCAATGTTACGTACTTTTATTTTTGTCCTTGCCACGTTACGTGTGAACTTTGTCCGGGGAGGAACGGATGCATGATTGCCTCAGGCAAACGTCGGGACATCCTTCATGTCCATCGATTCTTTGTTTCGCCATTGGACGTATCTGTGTAAAAACAAGAAAATTACGAAATTAACATGCAAACAGGAAATTTTGCTCGCGTGTAATACATACAAGCGAGGAACGTCTTTGATGTATTGCAGCTTCCTCGGCTGCTTCGCGTCAGAATCTTGCATTTTGCATCTTTCGCTCCAAACTTTAGTCGGGTTCAATAGAGTCGAGTGATCTCGCGTTCGTGTCACTTGTGATCTTACGTTTTTCTCCATTCGACTTTTAGCCGACTTTCGTAGTGTCGATATTATATTTTTCTTCCTTCTCGTATACTCCTCGTCCTGTTTCCTGTCAGTGCCGTTGATAAACGCGATTGTAGAGAATTGCTCGCGACATCTCAGATCGCACAATCTACCGAAAGTTGTCTTAAAGACGTCCAAAACATGTCTTATTTCTTTTAGACGTCTTTTAGATATTTTTAAGACAATCCTTTAGTAATTTGTGTTGTCTGGAATATGGTATGATATTCTTTACATACTTCGTGCGTACCAAAACGTCCTTTTGAGGTAAACTTTGAAGAAGATTCAGAGTATACATGTGGAGTAAACTATAGATTTTCAGTAAAATTTTTCTCGATATTTTGTATGTGATACAACCTCAGAATTCGAATTAAAAACTTTTAATATGCTTTAGAATAAATCCTGTCTGGACGACAAGCAACATGAATACAAAAAGTAATACTTAGAAGTCACAGATGCAAAAAAAGTTTTTCCGTGTCAGCTGACACGTTATCCTTCCAAAAACCTGTATGCAACTTTAATAACAACTTGTATTACCTAAAAGCCTCGATCAACGCCGGATCGTACTTCCATTCTGCTCTCGAGTCGTTTTTCGATGCTTTGGTGGAGAGCTCCGTTAATTTCTTCTCGTGGTATTCCGCCAAAACCGCTTGGATTTTCTTCAATTTTTCTTGCTTGCGTTTCTCTTCCGCTGCAAGCTTCGATTCCGTCAACATCTTGGACTGTTGCTCCTCCATGAGACGTTTATTTTCCTTCTCTATCTTCCACTGTCTTATTAATTCCTTCTTCTGATTGGCGTCATCGTCATCGACGACTTTGCCAGGAATCGCTGCTTTTGTCTCGCGTTTATTGGTCGCGCGAGGTGGAAGTTCCTTTGTGATATCGGGGTTCGATTTTCCGCGAGAGATTTCCCCCGCGTTTTTGACCGCAGTTTCGTTTTCACGGGTCCTCCTCGCTTTCTCTGTGTCTTTCTGTTTGCGCCACTCTCGGACGGTCGACCGTTGCTTCTCACGCAGGTTCGAGTAAACCTTGTACCAAGCCTCATGATTCACTATGTTCTCTGCAGTTAAATCCGGACATTTGACCTGAATGGCGGCCACCATGGCAGGTATGCTGCTGCATTTCTGCCGTGTCTTCAGGAACAGCAGGTGATCTTCGTCGCTCCAGTTGTCGGTGTGACCTGTAAGATATGTGTTGAGAAATATTGTGTAAGGAAGAGTCTAGAAGTTACAAGGATCAGTTGTCACAAAGCTTATATCTCATGTAATAAATGAAGGAGTATATTTTTCTCTATAGTACAGGTTGCTTGTATCATGTTAGTTGGATGTACGAAATGGATAAAAGCATCGCATGTGGTATTTACTAGCATTTTTCCAAGATTGAACGTGGTGAGTAAATTTCGTTTCTATTTTTGTGGTTCCGTTGGTTTTGGAATTACTGATCTTTTTATCTTTTTTTAGTTGTAAGAAATATTATAGGATTGAACTATTTTTTTTGTATTTAACATCCATAACATAATTTATAAATATGATTGTAACATAATTTATAAATATAATTTCTTTTATTCTAAATGACAGTTCGGATAAAGTTAATTCAAAGTAAGTGAGATTAGTTGTTACGCGTTGCAAGTTTATCGCGTAGTTATCACGTGACTTACGCAAGAGCATGGAAGTAAACACATATTTTGTGTTGTACCTGATTATAAAATATCACTAACTTTAATAAATCATTTAAAACCTTAAAATAATTTGTCTTATTTTATACGTGAAAGATATGTGACAATCAATCTTGGGTATAAGATATGGGATAAGTAGTCACATTTGCTTATAACTTGATAATGTTTTCGCATATAAATATATATAAGGATAATATATATAAGAATAATTTTTTTTTTACCGATTTTTCTGTACAAAGTAACATAAGTCTCATAAATTGCGGATTTTTGCAATGAATTTTAATTATCGATGTGTATACGAGCACTTTAATTATCGATGTGTATACAAGAATGCTTACCTGTTTTAGCAATTAGCGCATGAAATTCTTGGACCTCCTTATAATCCTGACTGTCTTTAACGTTCTTGCTGGAGGACGCGGCAAACGTCGGTTTGTTAACGTTACGGGTAACATTCTGGTACTTGTGTAAATTCAACTCAAATTCACGTAATTCGGATTCCAACGTCGTTTGCTCCTGCGTCAAGGACTCAAACTGGCAGGACTCTTCGAAGTCTCGAATCTTTTGCGACAGTTTCACAAGTCGCTGTTTATATGAGTTTGTATCTAGATACAAATATATTTACAAATAGTTAAATACATGCAGCTATTGCGATTAACGAATTCAACATTAGAAGGAATTTTGATATTTATTTTCGCGTTCAAATAGTTTTATCTAAAATATTATATATAACCAAAATATTAATCTTCTAAGGTCCAGTATGTAATTATGTACATTTATTTTGGCTCTTCCCTAAATTTTTTATATTGTCAAAATAATAATTCTATCGATATAATCGACATAATCGATACTATCAATTTTCATCTTAGAGTTATTAAGGTAAGTAGAGTAAGTCAAGTAATGACTCTCAATTTTTAGAATTTGGTGAGTTCTCAATTTCATTGTGTTTAAACTGTTTTGCAATCCACTGTATATTCAGAAAATCATACTTCTTGATGGTAAATTTTATTTCGACCATAAGATTCTTTATCAAGAGCGTCTTTTAAGACTATTTTATAAAAAAAAAAAATGTTTTTACTCGAATGGAATCAATACCTGGGTCCTAAAGAGTTAAATTAGTGATTTCTAATTAATTGTGTATGATTAAGCACAGCATGCAATTAACACTGGAATAAACACAGAAATCACAGTGATTAATTGGAAATTATAAATCTAGTCTATATACGCGCGAAAGCAATTTTGTTAAATAAGAATAATACTATTATTCGAAAATAGATCAATTATTTTATTATTTACCTAAGTTTTTAATTTGTTCGGGACAGTCCATGAGGGATTTCGCCGAATTGACCTCCTCCGTAATTTCTTCTAAAGATTTTTTTACACTATCCAGCAAAATTTCCCTTAAACAAAATTTATTTAAAAAAAGATAGTCGAATTGAAACACTATAATGCAATTTTGAGCAAACTTGATTTAAATGCAATTTAACGTTTAATTAATTTTTCGTCACCTACCTCTTTCTGGGGATGTCATTCATATCGTGCCAAAGAAGTTGTTCAACTTTTGATTTCAATTTCATATTCTCTGCCAAGTTAAATAGATTCTTTTCCATCAAACTCTCCTGTTGCTTCAGTTGAAATAGTGACTTCTTGTACTTCGTGCTTTCGGTAAAACTCATTTTTTCGCATGATGGCATTCGTCTTTCCTTTTTGCCTTCTTTGTGATTTAGACTTCCATTCATTATTACACGCACAAAGTTGCGACATTGATTGTTATCGAAATTCAATAATTTTTCCGATAGGAAATTTAATTTAAAGAATTCGTAGACGCGTTTCGTAGACGTCTTTCTACATAGGTTGACTTAACCGACTGGATTCATTGGGGTTTGTGGCCCAACAAAGTTTTACACATGTTTCCATAGCAATTCACCATGACTGTCCCCCTTCTGGTGCAACTGCAGCTGTTGATCAAATAAGACATCCATATGTGATTCTATAATTCAATACATAGGATCCAATATACAACAAAAATAGACGTGGTAGAAGAGTCGACAGCAACTCCTGTAAGAGAATTTATTTATAAAAAATATAAGTATATATTCAATATAATATAAAAATCTGAAATAATGGACTGAAGCATTTAAATACAAATTTAATTTAAGCCAACAAAATGTCTATCATAGTCTATTAAAAGATTTTCATAATAAAATTCATAAAAATTTTGTTACATAACTAATAGAGAGGAAGGACGAGCAAAATGCCAAACATAACGAGTAACTTCAAGAAAAAAAACTTTCCTAACTCTTTTCTGTTGATATGCGCCGCCGCAAAAAGTTAATATAACATTCATTTCAACATTTTAAAACACTAAGGCCCGATTGCACCAACGTTATTTTGATTTTAAGCGAGACATAAATATATGTTTGTCTTTATTTATTTAGAAAGAAAGATAAAGATATATATATATATATATATATTTAAGTTATATATAAGAAAGATAAAGATATATATTTAAGTTTCGCTTAAAGCCAAAATAATATTGGTGCAATCAGGCCTAAGATTTTCTCGAATAGTTTGTATACTTTACATTACGTGATTATTGATGAATAAATGGATCCTCGCATAATCGAAGTGCTCTCGCCTCGAGCGAGAGCGGCGCACCGAATGTATCGATATCTCGAAAATTCAACCATCGAGAAACTCAATCGCCGCCATATCCGCTATAACGCCAGAGTCCGTTACAGGATTACCCCCAGCAAACACAATGTTACATGTAACGTACATATTAGTTGTAATTTCCTACTCAACAATATAACTATTACATAACACGCATGTTATATAACAGTTATATTGTTGAGTAGGAAATTACACCTAACATGTACGTTACATGTAACATTGTGTTTACTGGGATCATCGGGTAGTGGTGTTAGAGCGAAGTTCTTTGTGAAGCCTGAAGTCAAATATTGAAGAAGAAGAAGATTATCATGGAAGTGTTGTCACCACGAGATGTTCATTGCGTCATGGCAGTTGGCATTGTCCGAATCGTCGCGTTCTGCACTGTCCGCCCTGCAAAACGAAAACTAGTAAGTCTCATTGTATGAAATTAGTACACACACAACCTCTACGTATGTGATCGTGCATGTACGGGACTGTCAAGGAGAATTTACACTTTGGCAGAAAACAGAGAGGCAGAAGTGAATCAGATCTCGCGTTGGTGATCAAGTGGTACACAGTTCGACAGTTTATACTTTTCTGCGAAGGTTCTGAATTCTCCCGTTCACAGCTGGCCTCTCGTAAAATGAAACAATCGGTAATGTCGACATTCTCTAATTATCAATGGATTTTCAAGCTCTATTGGTAAAACATTACACATTATCGATGGTCTTCGACAGTACTTTCGGATATCCACTTTTACCCGAAGTCGGTAAATTCTACGATAGTAATATATGAATACCAATTTACCGATAGCTCTATTTTGACAGTCACTGTGGGCAATCAAACGTTGCAACAGCTGTGTTTTCAGTAGAGAAAATAATCATACGCTTACATTTACTGTCATTATCAATAATCTTACGAGGAACAACAAAATGTGTCCTCATATATTTACACAAACTTCAAAAGCAAACTTTGCTTTTTAAGACAAGAACTTCTCGCGCGCGCGTGCTTTGCTTTTATAGTACAATTTAATCAATATTTATTTCATCCAGTATTGAAAATTGGTCGAGCAAAATTTTCGTTGACCAAGATACTCGGCACATCGAGTGCCCAATCCTTAGTGACATCTAGCCGCGCCGCGGAACTACGCCGTTCCCCTCTCCGATGTAATCCGCGTCTGTAACCCGCGCGGCTCTCTTCGACCGCTTACGGTGCGGTGCATTTATACGGGCGGCCTGTATCTAGGCGCCTCAGTCTCTGCTTGGGACGCGACCGCGCGAGTATGGGGTGCGCGTATACCCCGCGTAACGTATCGTACGGCATTGCTGTCTGAGCCGCGGAGCGACGAGCAACGACAAAACGACCCCGACGTCGAGACGTTCCGACGGGAGAATTAGAAAAGAAAATAGACAAGCATCGTTCCCACGTACTGCCTCCCTCTTACTCTCTCTCCTTTCCTTTTGTCTGTGTGTCTCTCTGTCTCTTTCTACCTTTCTCCCTGCATGGCTCCGAAACTACCCGTCGATCCTTGACATCCCTCGTACGCACCCCTAGACAACGACGACTCCCGGCGCGAGCGCGCCTAATAACGCGTATGTCGCCGGGAAATCCACCGGCGCGACGGACATTCGATTTTCCGCTCGATGAGTGAAGCATCCGGCTGTTGTCGTCGTCGTCGTGGAACGAGATCGGGATCGGTGTGTGCGCGACGCGATTCGTCGCGCTTGTGATTGTTGATCCGGTGGTGGTGCGGCAGGCATCTTCTCGGATTCCCGGTGCGCAAAAACGTGAGTACTCATTCAGAGAATTTTTAAATACCGCGTCGTCGTTGTCGTCGTCGTCGTCATGCCGCGTACGTTGGATAAGTGAAATTACGGCTGTGTACACACACGTTGCAGCCGCCTCGCGGCGAACGCGATCAGTCGATTTTAAATGATTGATTCGCCCCGCGGATCGAAGGAAATCGAGTCATGACATTTCGACTGAACGCGAAGAGGCCGACTCGAGTTGCATTAATAAGCAGGTGCATTCGTCGATTATCGTACACCGAGCCGTTTTGTTTGTGCAATGAAACATTTCTCATACAGAAAAGAATACAGTACTATTTGATCGGATAAATAACAGTCTTGAGACGAAAAGAAGGACAAGTATTGCATCGAGAAAAAAATATATTCGAAGATTTATTTGTAGGATATAAAGTTTACTCGCAGAAATAAACTTTATATTCCACAAATAAATTCTGAAGTATTTTTTTCTCAGTGAGAAAGATACTTAAAAATTTATTTGTGAGATAAAATTTTCTTTTATAGATATAAACTTTATGTCAATGAAATGAACTTTATATCTCACATATGTATTTTCAAGTACTTTCTCTCAGTGTGTATGTTGACAACGTGGAGATTATTAATTTTCCAATTTGTACCTCGAAAGAATTGCGAAAAGACTTGAATATCTGGATGTTTGTTTTTGCAGACAGCTCTTAGATCTTTAACAGTTCTTGTCTCTATTAGCCGCGTTGCTTGTTCGCTTATTCTCGTAGATTCTGACGTTCTAGGAATTTATTAAATTATCGCATTTTTTGGGCGAGAGATAAGATAACAGTTTATGAATTTCACCACAAATACAATCTTATCAGTGAAACTTTTCGCAACACACAAAGCCAGATCATGTAAGGAAACAATGTAACATCTAGCATGCCGACAATAGTAAATAAATCAGCAGTGCACCGCGAAATTGATAAGTTCGCTTATCTAACACGACACTGATAAGAAATCATAGTACGATATTAATGTAGACTTTGACTCGAGACATGTGCATATAATCTGGACAATGTTAGCGCTACAATCGTGGACGTTTCTCATAAACGAATGGTTTCGCAAAACTTAGCAACGCGCATGGCGCATTCACCAAGAACTCGTTGCAGCATATTAACATTGTCAATCTCATTACGCAATGTTATAGTTTAATAATAGTACACTGCGCAATACGAGGTATAGTGACGCTATATATTATAGTAGAATATGCCCGTTATAGTGCCACAGTTAATGCAGTAATTAATTAAAGGCTCATCTTGCACAATTTTGCGCCATTATATCTTCCTATTCTGGCTACTTAATCACCCGTTTGAATCGCTTTTATAGAGAAAGTTTCATTGTTCGCGGACGATCGCAAGGAAGTCCTGCTCCGTAATCATTTAATTATGAGTAATTGTTGTTACAATATCACAACGTGCAGACTAATTACTCGTAAAGACAGTGCGCGATGATTAACAATCAGTTAATCAATATTTATTTTATACAATTCCCAAGGTATTCCGTTTACTTGAACGTCCATTAATACCGCACCGAGAAAGCCCCATTGTTTCAACGGTCGTGAGGAAGTGCCGCGCGCGTTACGGTAACTTAATTAAAACTTGTTAATTTAAAATTACATGCAACACGAGCGAGATAGAGCGAGTAATTTTGTGACATTGGAAACATTCCAATTAGGGAAAGAAAATTATCTTTCTTTTTTATAAAATCGTATAAAACTATATTTTGTCATAAGAAAAATAACGTAATGCACCAAAAAGGAAAAGTCTAACTCTTTTTCTTTTTGAATCAAGAAAAATATGATTACTTGAAGCAAAATATCCTCTTGTTAGAAGAAATTTCTATTAAGAACAAAATTTGTACTGCAGATACTTGATGACGGGAATTCCTCTAACTTTAAGAACATAGTGCTTAGAATATTTTTCTTGTGATTTTAGAATATACACGAGGATTCCGTTAAGGATGAAATCAAATTTTCTTGAGGTACATTTTATACACTCGTTATATTTCGCACTTGCCAATTTGCATATAATTACTAATTCCTGCTGATTACATTCTCGACGATATGTACTGTAAACATTGAAAAACGGGGACAGGGGCGCAGGGGAGTGAAAATTGGCGGGACCTTCGATTGAGATTGACGATACGCATGTTAGCTCGCGGTTGACGAGTGCACTCGCCCGCGGGACGATTTGCGCGTAATGGCGCGATAATTTCGCGGCGATTGAATTGCCGACGCAATTACTTGCCGGAGGCGTGCTCGGGGCCGAAGACGATCGAGATAAGTGGACGGAGACAAAGCGTTTTGTCGCGTGAGATAGGCCTACGGTGCACACCGCGGTGCGCATCGGCAGATATACATACATACATACATACATACATACATACATACATACATACATATATGAATACACATACGTATACATTCGCAACAATAAGTAATAAACACGGGGAGCATAACAAACGACGGCGATCGTCGTGCACCGCGATTACTCTATCGCACGGCATTGAACTTTCGCTCGATCTTTATCGATCCGACGTGCCGCGCGATATTGCACCTTGTACCTTGAGATCATTTTTATGACTATTTGCGTAAGAGGAAACGCTTTGTGCGGCGCGACCATATGCGTGTGCCCGCGTGCGCCTGTGCGCGAGAGCGACTTTAATGAGGGACAGCGGCGATCCGATCTTAATAAGAAACATTCTTCATGATAGTGATTGGAAAATCGTGTGTGGGAATAATCTCTTTTTTCCATAGTTCCTGCTCCGCGTTTTAATACCGGGCCTCCGACATTAGCGCTGAAATTACCGTCTGACTGCCCGGCGCGGTCTCCACTTTGGTATCGAACGCATATTTGACCTGAGGTAGATCTAAATTGCCATATAGATTTCCCCTTCGTAATGTTAAATAAACGCCCGGCTAATAATAGCGCACAACACTGCCGAGATACGAAGCGTTGCGTAATAATGCAGCATACACACACGCGCGCGCGCGTGCACACACACGCAGAGCTCCTCCCCCCGGAGCTGCACCAGACTAATCTGCCGCGAAATGATTCTAATCGATCAAATATACCTGTGCTTATGCGAAAATTATTTTCCCACAGTTTGATGATAATAATAACAATAATAATAATAATAATAATAATAATAACAGCGACACCCCGCAACATCCCCTTTTTGAAATCCACGGTCTTTAGTAGAAATTGAACCTCGTCGTCTAACCGTGAGACAGTAAATTTGTGTCTAATATCACTACTAACCAGTAATGTAACGCTCACTTCTAATGGCCAGATAAATAAGTCAGTTGACGATTAAACAAACGAAATTATGAGATAAAAATCATAGTGCTAGCCAATAATGTGACGTCCGATTTTGTTCTTTTGAGATTTTTGTGAAATTAACATAACTTCAATTTTGATTTACTATCTAATTTTAAAATGCTAGTAGTGATACAGTAACTAGATTATATATTTGGGAATAGACAGAGCGCCATCGGCCCAACATATTTATGCAATGACCAGACAACAGTTCCACAAATCCGATTCTATAGTTCAATGAATAAACAATCAGTAACGAATTAGTAACGAATTAGAAAAATTAATCTGACTTGTACCAGCTAACTTTTGATTTTAGTTACATTTCTACTCGGAGTGTATTAACAAATGAGTATTATCTTGTTGGCGTGACGCGAGATTAAAATCGCGCGGGCGCGCGATCGGCAACGCCGCCGTATTTGCATTAACATTGCCATTCTGTCGAGCGCATATTACGGGTGAACTATTGCGCCAGCATTACGTGAGAAGACTCGCCGCTGCGCAGAGCATCGCGGCTCCGGAATAGCGTACCGCTCGTTACAGCTGCTCCCCGGTTAAAAGTGAATGGGGAACCCGCTCATTCATAAGATTTTCTTCTGAGGGGGGCAGTCGCGCTGCTGTTGCTGCTGCTGCTGCTGCTCTCGCTGTCCAGTCTTGTTCGCTGCGGAGTGGTTTGCGCGCGTGCAGATGCACAGTACAGCAACTGGATATGCAACTTATCACGCTCGCTAATGCGAAGTATCTCTCAATCGAGGGTGAGCGCGGCTTGGGAAAAAGGGGAGACCCTGAATAAACGTTTACGACCGGTCTCTCTCTTTCTCTTTCTCGACGCATTGTGTCTTGCGTAAGACAAAGGCATTCGTACACAGCCGAGAAAAAAAGGAAACCAGTAACGGCGCGGTAGCATGTTGTTAATAATCAATATTATCAAGCGACAATGTTATTGCGTTATTTAGGTCCGTATTAACTATCTCATGTATTGGGCACTTTAATCCCCGGCACATTGGGCTTTTTGTTTTAAATAGAAATAGGGTTGTTGTCCTCGTTTATTTACACTTCGTAAAAGTGTTAAGTAAAATCTATAAAAAATAATAAATATATTTTCAAGTCTGTAGAATAGAACTTTGTGCACAAAAATGATCGCACATATTTCCTTTTATTGCAAATATAAAGAGAAACTTAATTTTACATAAAACTGTGTAATTTTTCTGAGAATGAATTTAAGAAATTAATATCCTAGAATTTTCTTATATATATATGAATTTAAGAAATTAATATCCTAGAATTTTCTTATATATATATATATATTTTTTTTTTTAATCTTAAAAAAAGATATATTACATATTTCAATTTGTCGAAAAGTATAATTATTTTGGTATATGAAAATATATAATTTTTCAGTAAAAAATAAAATAATAAATAGTTTCAATTTTTTGAGATATTAATCTATTATAAATAATGTGGATTTTATTAAAATTATTACGAAAATTATCTGAATTTTTTGCTCGTGATTACAGTCTGGTACAGAAACATCACGTATATAATATAGCTACAAGTAAATAATATTTAAATTTCATATTTATATCAATTGTGCACTTTTTTCATTAATTTGCGGATGATACAAAATAAAAATTGGATGAAGTCGAAAATGTGACTTTC